GGCCAATGACGGATTTATCAAATATTTCCCTGGTATGTTCAGACCAGAATAGGGCAAAACTGCTTTCACCTGAGGAAATGATTATCTTTATCAAGCGTAAATCTCTTCGCCCATGAACAACTTCTTCCCCATTGCACTTAATTGCGGCACTCTTTTTGTGTGCACTTGAATAGTCCCGGCCATCCTTGGACGTTACTTGGCATTCGTGTTACTTGGAATAGACAGGCATAGCAATTTTGCACTGCTGCACCATGGGAATTGTTGCAGAGTTAAGTATGAGCTCTGAATTTGCATGCTACATTTGTCCACATGACTTCTTGCCCCAGGATAGCTAAGACTGCTCACACATGGACAGGGAAAGAAAGAAAGAAAGGGAAAAGAACGCATGATTGAACTGGCCCTGAGAGGAAAGTTGTCAGCCTGGCTCTTTCCACTAGTGTTGGCATTTGAAGGGCTGGATCATGACTCAGCATACAGGATGTAAGGCTTGGTGTGCTAGAATGAATCAGCCTGTAGCTGGAAACAGGGGCATGGGTTGGGAGATGATGGGGAATTATTTGTGCAATTTCTAAATGCAGAATGAAGTTCTATTTAAAAACATTTTTCTTAAAGAAATGAAAACCAGGCTGTTCTATGTAGCAATTATTTGACCATTTAGAAGATTTTTAAGGATAACATTTCCATTCATGCAGTAAATAGGGTTTAGGGCAGGAATCTGGAACAATTGCTTTTTACAAGAGAAGGCAATGTATGGAGACAATGTTCTGTTATTTAGCTGTAAGTCTGGCAGCTCCAGTACTAATCCAGTACTTACAGTTTTGCAGCTCCGGTACTTATCGTTCACATGCCAGACTCTGAATGTGGGTTGAATTCTCCTTAACATAAATATGCAAAGAACTGAGGCACAAATGGTCCTTAACAAAACAAAACAAAAAACCCTAGTCAATTAAAAAAATTATTTTAAAAACTACAGATTTTATTTTATTTTTTGCAATAACGTAATTATAATATCTGCAAATGTTTCAGTAATCAATTCTTAACAGGCCAAATCCTTTGCAGCATATTTCAAAAATAAGCAGCACAGGATCTGGCCTATTAAGGATTTATTAAAATACTTCTAAAATATACTGCATAGGATTTGGCCTAGTAAGGCTTTATTATTTGCCTTTTTGTATATATGAAGATTGTTTTATTGTAATAGAGAATCCTGTATTTTTAATGCATTTTCCCCTCAACTCTGATTTTGGTTGCTGAGTTTTCCTCAAGCCTACAGATCTGTTGCAGCCCTATGAAGAAAGTATAAAACACTATAGTAATTTTTACACCTATCTTGCATAGTTAACAATGGCTTCATTAAAGAGCAAGGGAAACTCTGGTCCTGCCCCAAGCCTATAGACATGAGCCTGAAAGCCTTTTAACACCTGTTTGCACCTTTCAAAGGGACCTTTGTCTCCCTATGGATCCTTCCCTCCCACAGCATGTGGCAAATGTTGAGCCTTGCTGTTTCAATAAGCCACCAGCTGCCAATGTGTCTGCTTCCTTCTATCACAGACATGTGAGTTATGTCACTGCACAAGTACAGAAGAGGACTGGCATGTGTTAAGTAACAGTTGCAGGCTAACATAGTCAACAGCAGAAATAAAAAGAAACATTGAAGACCCTGATGAAATCTTAATTGCAACATGACAGATTTTGACAGGATCTTCACTTTCAGGGGTTAATACAAAATACAAACACACGGCTAAATATTGCTTCTATGACCAGCAAGGAGGAAATTCCATCCATCGAAGGGTTCCTTTTTCTAACCTGGAGCCCTCAGCCTAATCCAGGCATGGCCAAACTTGGCCCTCTAGCTGTTTGGGGACTACAATTCCCATCATCCCTGACCACTGGTCCTGTTAGCTAGGGGTGATGGGAGTTATAGTCCCCAAACAGCTGGAGGGCCAAGTTTCGCCATGACTGTGTTGTGGCATGGAGGGAGGAAATAGGGGGGAAAGGGAGGTGACAGAAAGAGAGAGAAAAGAAGCAGTTGTGTCACTCCCAGTATGGGCTCTGGCTCCCCACTACTGGCATAAGACCCGCCAAAAGATTTTCCTCAAGGGTATACAGCCTTCAGTGAAAAAGAAGATTGATCGTATCTGAAACAGACTATGTAAAAAGAAATTTAGAGACAAATTCCAAATAGCTGCATTGTTTGTTTATACCAATGTGGTGGGAGAAAAAAACACCCCACCCCTGTATGGTTCTAGAGATGTTTACTCATTATTTGACATGAGCTTCTTGTCAGCAGTGTGCTAGATGTATCTGATACATATATATGGAATTGAGCATTCAGTGTGATGGGTCTTCGGCTGCTTCATAATAATAGTAAGCCAAAGTGTAAGAAAGAACAAAAAGTAATGGGAATACAAAATACCATCCGACAATACATACTCTGTACATTTAGCAGAGTACATAAACCAAGCAATTTATGCTAGACATGAATGCAGTGCATTGCTGAATGGGAGATGGTGACTTTTTAGCATGAGAGAGTCATAATGCTCTTTATTCAGCTCATGAACAGGGCAGTCACATAGCTATGCAATGATGCGGAAATATTGGTTCCCCTGACAGCAACTGCATTCTGAAATATTTCCTTTGAGGTAAAGCAATCCTGAGGTCCAAGATGGAATGTCGACAGTCTGGGTTAGGGGTCTGTTCCCCCTTTGGCTGCATTTATGAAGAATATGTTTTAAAGATCATTGTAATCTACACATAGATCCCTTTCCTGCCTGTGTAGATTGAATGCTGACCACCCTTTGCACATAGACTCTGCAGAGACCCCTTGAATCACATGGGACTCCATTGAGTCCTGCTAGTAGTGTATATGTTGTACAGCTAGTCAACACACATCATGGTGTGGTCAGGACACCAGACCAACAAATCCTACAGTCGGCCTTCAGCGAAGCAGGGGTGGTGGTGAAAGAAGAGGTCAGAAACCTTTGTTAGAAACTATTTAGAGACTCGCATTGGGTTTACACAAGTGAATGCCATGGAGAATACCGTGAAGTGCTGTCTGGAATCTCCATTCCTCTATTCTGGTCACTGAGATATAAAAAGAGATGAAATCACTAGGAAAAGTACTGTGGCGCAGGGATGGATGCTCACTTTCCATAGTCAGGCAACATTACCCTTGAGTTGCCAAAGTCTATTAAGGAAAGCAAAAACACTGTCACCTTGACATTAGGGGATGCTTCTGAACAAAGATAAATGAATAGGGGATTAACGATTGTTTTAATTGTATGATATACATTCTTTTTCCTTTTTAAAGAAAAGGCCGGCTTGAATATTTGGACTAAATAAATCACTGCTGGCTGCATTTCAGGGGTTGGACTAGATGACCCTCAGAAACCCTGAAGTTCTATGGTTCTGTGATTCTATGATTCTACTATCTATGCAGGACTGATACGTCTTTTGCAACTTTCAGGTGTGAAGCCTTGTTATACAGTCCAGTAAACTTAACGCCGAGAGCCTCCTGCTGTAAACTTTATTTATTTCTAATGTAAGTTTCTATTGCTTTTCAATAACAAACATAAAACAAATAGTATATAACAGGAAAACCTTATACAATACAAAGTAAAAATATGTGTGTGGCAAAGAAATATGTACATAAAGCAAAGCAGTTGATCTTTATAAGCTTTTTGAAACCAAATAACTTGATACACTGTAGGAGTGGGGTGGGGTGGTTGTGTTCAAATTTATTTGTATAGGAAATAAAGGAAAACCAAATTGGAAAAAGTCATACTTTGTCCTCTGTCTTCTTTTAGTTTCTTTTCCAATATGGCTATTTGCCATACTGGAAGTCATGAAGTTAAGATTATTCAAACTATTTTTTTTCAAAATAGTGGCCAAAAAAGATAGTGATTAGTTCCTGATTTTAATATTAGGGTCCTCATTTGAAAAAAGGTCATGTAGGCTGCATTTAGGTTTCTTCATTGTCCTATCCTAAAGGCTTTGGCAGTGCTGCCTGGCAGTGGGGCCTGGTGGAGCCTAGACCTGGTGGGAAGCCTTAAGGCTCTCCCAAGCTCAACACAGAAAACCACATCCATGGACTACACAGATCGTATTAGCACTGCATTGGACCTCATCAGCCATGACATTAAAGTGGAACATTTTATCCTCAAAGTGAGAGCTCTACCCTTAGATTTAGGCCATACTACAGTGGTGGAACACATGCTTCATACAAACAGGATCCCAAGCTCAAAAGCAGGCTAGTTGGCGATAAACACTGATTCTACTAAAATTTTGCAGAATTGAGCCAGCAGTTTGAGGAGAAACATTTCAGTGAATTTAGCAGCCCTACCTAATTGAGAAACATCCTGGGGAATTGAGCAGCCCTACTGAATTATAGCAATGATCGAAGTGGTTTTGTCACTCACACACAAGAAAAAAAGAGGGAAAGTCGGACAGAACATGTTGAGTTAGGTGAACAATTTCTACTTGCTTCTTGTCATTTCAAGGCAGGCCTTGGACCAGTGATATTTGGCAGTAAAACAGATGCAGACCCCTTGGGTTTGGCCGTGGCTAATTGGCATGCAAATATAAATCAGGATTAAATAAAATTGATTAAATGAATCCCAGTCGCAATGCATTGTAACTTAGGCTGCTCTGTGCAGTAAAATGAAGGAATAGAATGCTGTGGTTGAAGAACAGACTGCGGTACTTCAGCTTCTAGGTAGGAGATTACATTTTTAAATGTTTCTCTAAATCAATTACTCCCTTTAAATAGTAAGCAAGCAAAGGGCTACACTAGAACACTTCTCCCTCATATGCTAGTTTTCTATCTGTAGGGAATTTTTTTAAAACTTGGGAAAGCTTTCAAAAGAGGTATCCTCAATCTACCATTTGAAGAGATACTGTCTGTTCCGCCATCTCAGTCTGATGCATGCGGTAACATCAGAAAATATGTATTAATATCACCTGGAGTCCTCATCATTCCTTTTCTTTCCAATATTTAGGCTATGAGTGATGCTGTTTATGCAGCCAAATTGCCGCTGCCACCACCCCAAGCAGCAGAGTGAGTCTTTAGAATCATTTAAACCAAGCAAAAACCTTGCTCTCCCTCCCTCTGTAGCCTGAGGTAAAGTTATTCAAAGGGAGTTCTCCAGAACCACATAACATAAATGTTTTAAAAGTAATTCATAGGCAAAACATTAAAGGTAAGGACTGAGGAGTCAGATCAGAAATGACATCTGGATATGAGCAGGGTTCCTCGGGCTATGCAGAGGGGAAGACACGGGTTGGGTTTGATATATTTCCCAGCAAACGAACAAGGCATCCTAGTTCAAAGAACTGTTTAATCTGTCCCTGTGTTCCCAGAGCCTGGCTTATATATGACCTCTCCCTCCCACCACAGAATACTTTTCTTCCCCCTCATGCAAAACTCGATTTGCTTCAGCCACATGAATCACTGTGTGTAGTGCTAATTATTAGCAGTGATCCGTGTGTTATGATAACATCTGGGAGTCCCAAAATGCAATGTGGACTTAATAAAAAGGCAGAATATATGTGGAGGATATTTAGTTCAAAGAACTGAAGGCTAGTAGAGCCCTACCCAGGGAAACTAACCGGAAGGGGATGTAACTGGCAATGAAGACCAGGATTGTGGAATTCTGCTCCAGCAATTTGTTCTCTTGTTCATCCATGCGTCCTAGGCTGGATGCAACATCTTTCTTTAATAGACTCTTGACTGCAGCACCCAGCTGAAACTGGGATTTAATTTTGGTGCAATCTTTCTCTGGGCTCATCCACACTTCCTCTTGTCCTGTGCCTCATATGCATGGATCTGGGCAGTTTTCTCTTTGTCCCACCACTTTCTCTGAGAAAATGAACTCTTTATTGCTGAATTGGAGACAGGGCTGGCCCACCCATGTGGCATGGTGAGGCAACCACCTCAGGTGGCAGGATCCAGAGGAGCAGCAAATCCCAGTGAAGATCTTTATTCCCCCCACACACACACACACACTTGTTCCTGATGTAGCACTTCACTCACCCCTTCTTCCCTGATGGGGAGTGGGCACACCATTTTGTGGTTCACCTCAGGCGCCAAAATGTCTTGGACCGGCCCTGATCAGAGCAAATATCAAACTCAGCTGATGTTTGCTCCGATTCAACATTAAGGAGTGGATTTTCTGGGGAGGAAGTGGCGGTACAAGCAGAAGTGTGGATGAGCTCTCTGTCTCTCTCAATACTTGCGATACACCAGGATTATATATCTATAGTCCTACCTTTCTATCATCACAACAGCAGCAACAAAATCTCAGGCCAAAATTCCTATTGAAGTCACTCCATTAAATCTGGATACTTTTGCTTCTCAGAATTTTTATGTAGTATTCTATTACTAATTATTGGACTAAGAGCCCTCACCTATTTGAAATGTGTTCACTGGAGACTGAGAAGGACTAAGAAATGTCCACGCCATACATTTGAAGCACATGGTTTCCTCCAAATAAGCATGGGAGCTGTAGATTATCCTCATGGAGCTACAATTCCCAGGATTCTATGAGGGAAGCAATGTGCTTTAATGTTGCAGATGCATCCTTATATTGTTTTGCATTCCTCAAACTACCTCTAAAAACCATTTTACTATCCTGTTGTAGGATCAGTCAAAGTTGTGAAGAAGTATGATGTTTTCCCCATCCTTTCAATGTGTGTTTATGGGTGAAATGGATATGCTAATTCACTTTAGTGACAGAAAGTGCAGCATTTAGAGGGCGCTAATTCAACTACATGAGTGTGATAATGTGAAGTCTGGTTTTTGTTTTTACTTTGGATTTGTTTGTTAAAGGTAGGTTTTGAGCACCACCAAACTTGTGGGCAGTATCCACCATTTGCAGCCACCTGGAATGCACAGAATGTTCTTGAAAGCCATGCCTGGCTGGAAGAGTGGTAGGGAGGACAAGTATCAGGATTCAAGTTTGCAATGACTCCTGAATTTGGAATCTGAGGGGTGTCAGGCAGATTCAATCTGCATGCCAGCACCAGCTCTGTCCAAAGAAGAAAAGTTCAGGGTAACCAGCAAGACGAGCAGAGAAGACTCTTGAAAGACAATGGGCCACAGCAAGTCATCTGACAAGGCCTGACCCTTATAAAAGCATGCAGATCACACTTGCTGTCTGGTGTAAGCTACTGCTTTCATTCAACTTGCTACTACACACTACACTTCTGTGGCTGCGGCAAGGAAGGGAAGTTCTGGGAGATGCCAACTGTGAAACTGAGCAAGAACCTTCATTCTGACTGTGCTATTTTAATCAAGCCTATCCATCCATCTGCCTAACATGGTACCAGCAACTTTCAGCAGTTATTACATTAACCAGCTCTGAGCTGCATCAGATGCTTCGCTTTTCCCCCAAAGGCAAGCTGTTCTAGGTAACAATGACAGTCTATTTCTTCTCCAAACCTTTATTAGGCATTACAAATAAAAGCCATCATAAAATACCCATATATAAAATTTTAAAATATATACAAATAAACAGCCATGTAAAAATATGTAATAGCGAGGATTTTCATTGGTGTTTCTTCCCGCTAAAAAGTGTCATTCACCACTCTAAGAGATACTATTGATAAAAACTCAGCCACCCTTGCAGTTACTTCTGGGTTAATGTAAGACAGATAGACTCATATATTTTCATTGTGCCGTAATCTTAGACTACCCAGAAAAGGTGATGGCATGTGTTTGCGTAGCTGGATATACAATGGACAGTAGAAGAGAATATGTTTTACTGTGTCCAGCACATTCAAAAAAACATCTGCAATGTCTATTGTTTCTGGGGATGTTTAAATATCTGCCCTTGACAAAAGCTATGGGGTAACATAAAGGCCCTGCATTGGACTGGAATTATTCATTTTGCAACTTAAGTGACCTTGTTATCTGTTGGATTTAAACCATAAAACTTGGGGGAGCAAATTTTATTTACAGCTGACTCGATGTTTCGTTTTTCCATGTCCCTTAATCTGATTCGAATATTACGATAAATATATTGCTCACTTGAATTATAGAAGAGTTCCAGGTAACAATGACAGTCAGTGGGGGACCTGGGGGTCATTATGTTTGACCATAATGCCCATGTCTTTCTGTTATTTCATACACATGAGCTGTGCACATGTTAAGAAGCTGTGGCAAATGCCAACTACATGCGAGCACATGTATATGGCGATCTGCATGCAGTGTTCATTTTGTCACAAAGATCAGTGCTTCTCAAGCTGTCTGATGTCGTAGACTGGCAATGCCCCCCCCCAAAAAAATGTGCCAGGGACAAGTACCATATTTGGTCTCTGAAGTGTCCCACCCAACTTGGGCTGTGGTGCAGTCGCCATAGACCAGCAGCCGATGGCTCACAGACTGGCAACAGTCCATGGTCAACCACTTTGAGTAGCACTGACTTAGACAGAGCAGTGTCCTTTGTAGGAAATGCAAAATATTATAAGCAGCCCACAGTCACAGGTTTTTCCCTATCAATGTCACAAGTGTTTTTCTTCCTTCTCCTTGTCGCCATTTGACCCCCTCCAAGCCCAGTTGCGTCAGCTGTTGGCTGCACATAACAGATGCTTGTCAAGAATTTCCAAGAAGATCAGGTGACACCTTGTGTTCCAATTCGCTTCCCTCCCTTACAGCCCAACTCACATACTGAGGCTGGACTTCCAAGCAAGGCTGCATTAGAGCAAGCAAACCAAGCGGATCAACATCTCGGATGAATCTGGGATAGTTGTGAACCACCATATCCTTTGCATATACTGGTGATTATCAAAGGAACAGCTGGGTGAGTAACTATTTTGTGCATTCACCAAGGTCGTCTTTTAGCTCTAGAGAGGGAAGGTTCTGATTTTGCTCTGAAATTGTAGACTGTTGGGATTGATCTTTAAACTTGGGTATACCTCCTTCATTTGGATCAGAAAGGGTCAGACTTAGACAACGAGGATGGAATATGAATCAAGGGGGTTGAATATGTGAAACTTACTAAGTTCAGTTCTACAAAACTTCACTGCATTGCTGTTCATGTTAGAGAGAATTTCGGGCGTTCTGAATATTCTTCTCTAGTTCCCACTGCGTAAGTGTTTCTACAACATCCCCATATTGCTCCTGAGTGGGGAAAGGGCTGCCAAATATTTGCTGACCTGCAGGGGTATTTCAATCTTAAGTGCACAGAATTTAGAATATTAGACCTTGTCTTCTATACATATATTATAACATGCACAAAAAGGGTATTATTCCCATTGAAAATTATAGAAGGGTCTCTAACTAGCAGGCCTTTGAGATCTAAGCCCAAGGCCATGAGATCTGCTCACACAGCTGAATAGATTGTATGATAGCAGTCTTTGGCTGAAACACTAAACTCTTAGGGTTGAGGGGTATGTTCCTCAAATCTTAACCTTAATGTTGCTGTGGTGGTGAAGAGGGAGTATTTGTTATGATGTGACCAGTTCATTCCATTAAAAAACTCTCTTGGTGATGGAACATTTTGACCAATCCGCTACTCTCTGGTTAAAAAAATCACTGCCTTTGAGATTAAATTTGTTTTGCAGTATAACAGGAGAGGTAGCTAGCCTAATAAATCTGTATTGACTGTCAATAAACCCATGATGTAACCTCCAGTTCATAGCAGAATATTTCAGACCTAGCTGATGCTGGAGGAGGAGGAGGGAAGAGGAGAAGCACACACCCACACACCGGACAAGTAACTTAATCTCCGCTACTTGTTCTCCACGGACCGCTACTTGAAGGAAAGTCACTTTTCACATACTAATTACACTGGGAATTAAAATAAAGCTGCAGTTGTAAGCATGTTTACTTGAAAGTTGGCTTCTTCAAAATCAATATGATTGACTACAGAGGAAAATGTGTTAACACCAGAGTGTTGAAGTGAAATATATTTTTCTCTTTCAGAAATCTGTCACTGGGGACAAATTTCTTGCCCTTTCTATGCCCCCATTAAAAAGTGATTTCCCCACCCTGGTGCTGCCACCAAATTCAGATCACAATTTGGTCTGATTGCGAGCGTTATTAAAGTAAGGTTACCAGACGTCCCCGTTTCCCGGGGACAGTCCCCAGATTTACATATCAGTCCCCTGTCAAAATCCTATCATTCCTACTGAAGTTGAAAAGTGTCCCCGGATTCATTGGAAAAAAATCTGGTAACCTTATATTAAAGTCAATTAAGACTAAGGCACAGAAAAGCCTTGCAATTGGAGATCAGCTTCACAGTACCTTTTGAGTTCATTCCAGGCCATATGCTCAGGTTAGAGCAAGGGAGATTCCTATTCGTAGTTCTGTACCATATGCATATTTGCAAAATACCCTCCCTTTGCCTAAATTAGCAAAGGGTGATCACAGAACTTAGTGCCAAACTGGCCTAGATCGATATTGAAATGAAAAAAGCTGAAAGCCAGAGGCATTTTTATTAAGGTAGCTAGAAGTGTCTGCCAACTATGGTGCAGGAAGTGGGGGGAAGCTTTTATAGCCACACACCCCAAAATATTGGCACTTATTCAGATATATCTTATGGCAGGGGGGAGACCGAGGGACAGCTACAGAAAATTTACTAAAGGTACACAAACCACCTGCCAAAGCAACAGCAGTTCCTCCATTATCCCAAATGCCCATGCAATCACAGGCAAAGAGATGCAGCATTTTAGCAGCATATCAATCCTGGCTAATGCCTCTCCCATCCTTGCTGTCTGCAATCCTCCAGCTTTGCAGAGCAACCATATAAATCCTTCAGTGAAGCAAACTGTATCTTTGCTTCTTGTACATGAGGGATGCTGGGACCAGACATAAACTTTATGAACATCATATTCTTTCAGGAAAGGAAATACAAGATTAAAAGGGCTCAGAGTCTGTGCACACAAGGATTTATGGCCTTGGTGCTAGAACTTGACTCCTCACAGAGAATAAAGCTTTTCATTTTCAGCACTCTGTCACCCAAGACAGTTATTCTTTCAGATGAAGGAAAAGGAGCCAAAGTAGATTTAGAAATACACTGAGGACTAATGCTACACATCCCATCTTTGTGCATGAAATGTCTGTATGGAAATAAGCAAAGAGCTAGCTGAAGTCAACCAGATCTTTCCCCAATATCTGCAGTGGGCTTTTGATCGGATACTAGGGCAATCTTTCAACAAAGCAACAGAGAGACCTGTCTGTCTGTCTGTCTGTCTGAAATGTCTCAGGCTGCAATGAGAGACTGAATTACACAATGGGGGAAGCAGATTTAATTCAGTTGGCTATTTTTAGGACTACCAAAGGGGCTCCATTTACTCTGCACTCTCAACTCTGCTGCAAATCTGGCCTTTGGGAATAGGCTAACTAACGTTTGCTTTCAAGTCTTAATATACATATATGACTGCAAAGTTGGATGTGTGACTATTTGTGCAGCAACGGAGACCACTGCTTTAACACCCTGCTGCTCACCAAAAAATAATCCTGCATTTGCCACGGTACTCATTGGCAACTTACTTTGCCCATTACAGTCCTCCTTGCTTCATTCTGAAATGGCTTCCTTTGTTTGCAGTTTTTTGGTTTTGAATAAGTGCCTTGCTACAATGTGTGGCTAGTGGCTTGCTTAGTTCATCAGCTAGAAGCAAATTTGCCTAATGGGCTGTAATGGTACAAGTAGGAAGGGACATCATCAATGTGTTAAGAACATTACAAAGCCCTGCTGAATCAGACCAAAGCCCATCTAGCCTAGCATCCTGTTCATCCAGTGGGAAAGTCTGCAAACAGGACCTGAGTCCTCTCTCCACTCATGACTCCTATAACTGGTATTCAGAGGCAATGGAGGATGCAGCTCTTATGGGCTGGGAAAAGATGGTGCCATTCATTAAGGGCTGATCTGGACTTCCTTTTGTGCTGCATTTCTCTTTCCTTTGTTCTCTTAATGGTCCATCACCCAAGCAATCTCCTCAACATAGCCTGGCTTATGTTTTAACACTTGCTGGATCCAGGCGTTAGAAGGATCTTGCATACAGCCTAGTCCCTCCCACCCAAACTCATAACAGTACGATAGGCTAAGCTGGCTGATTAGCTTACTGCCTCTTGGTGAAGCTGCCCATGGTGTCCCATCCAGCCACTGATGTAACAATTAATTTTGGAACTCAGTAAGAACAGAAGAAGAGCCCCACTGGATCAGAGCAAAGGTCTCTCTAGTCTAGCATCCTCTTTCCCACAGTGGCCAGCCAGGTGCCCACAAGTAGTCCACAAAAGTCCTGCTGTGGAGCCCCAGTGACTGGCATTCAGAGGCCTGCTACTTCTGACAGCAGAGAATGATATATAAGGCTTCCTAACTAGCCATGGATTGCTTTATCCTCAATGGATTTGTGTAATCTTCATTTAAAGCCATTGTCTAAATTGCTGGCCATCACCACATTCTGTGGTGGTAAATTCCATATTTTAAGTGCATGGAAAAGTAGAAATGGATCTGAGGAGTCCCAGAGGCACTATTTTGTTGTATAAAGTGATTTTGTAAGTCTTGTGGAAGCCCAACTCTCAATGCTTTTAAGATAAGCATATTGATATATTGACATCTTTAGGGACTATGTGTGGATTATAAAATTAGATATTTTAGCCACTTAAATTATTTCAAACTTTAACCATTTTGTGTGTGATTAATAGCTTTGGGCGATTGTTTGCATTTTGATTGAATATGCCAAATTTCTATTCTATCTGTGTCTGCAACCTCTGGGAGGATAGAAACCATGTCTACTTAATGGCCAAGTCTAAAAAGGATCAGGCGGTGATATTTTAAATCAGCATATCTACCGTAATTGAAAAAAACTCTTCTTTATTTCAGTGGGACTTTCTTTCAGTTTGTCAGGCTCAAATTCATTTATTTAGAAAATGTCTGTACCGCATAACATTTTGCACAAGTGATTTGCAGACATTTTAAAGTACAAATACAAATAAAGATCAGGATGCAATAAATATATTATAATACATTTTAAAATGGCAGTATTGTGCCCCAACCCCCATCCTGTTTTCTTAGATGCCCCAGTGTATTTTACTAGATTGCACTGTGTGGATCTGCCCCTGTGCCTGATATTTAAGGCCGATTGTACAGAACCAGTTGCATACATTCTTGCCCTCTACTGGCTAAAGTTAGTATATATATTTTTCCATTACTGTTTGGGTGACATATTTGCTACTTGCTTGACTTTAAAACAGAACACTTTATAACATCTGATGGATCTAAACATATAGACATGTGTAGGGTAGTTAATGTTTTCAAGAAGCAGGTAAATATTAAATCTGCAAAAAAATAAATCAAAATTGTTCCCAAAGTGGGAGGATGTTTTATGACATGAGCAAAGTATTCCTATACACCATTTTTGGTGCTGGTGGAACAATGCCAAGAGAACCTCTACCTGAGTCAGTGGACAGTGGAGGTGCCACTAGCCCTGAATCCAGCAAGCTCCTTGCCTGCACCGCTCCAAGTCCCACCCTAAGGCCAGGTGTAGCCAGATCATATTGGTTGTCAGTACAGGATTCTGATAAATCCCAAACAATGAAGAAACAACACATGAGACAAAGTCAAAGCATCTGTTGAGCAGCATCCAACATGAACCAGATCTCGAATGGAAAAGATACATGGGTGGGTTGCCAACTAGTCAACCCAGCAGGGCTCTTTCACCTTTGACAGTGGCTCAACAAACAGCAAGGATAGTGGGTTCAGTGCCTCTTGTGGCACCAGCTCCACCTTCACCTGTTGCATAACTGTCTGTCCTGGAGCTTGCATAGAATAAGTTGGTGAGCAATCTCATGGAAGAACAGCCAAGAACATCCTCTAGTCACTGCTGCTGGTCATGGGGTGGGCCTTCCTTGTGGTCAGGGGTGAATGCTGTATCTTGGGAGGGTGCCTTGAGGAGAGCAAGGGATGACAGACAGTCCACCTCTCTCTCTGTGTGCCCTCCTCGATTTTTCTATTAAAAAAACTCAGATCAGGACATACCACACCAGTCAATAAAAATACATCAGCAAATATTTTCCTTTCCCCCTTGCCTCACGAAGTCACATCAGGGCATATATAAATATATTGTCCTTGCAGGAGGAGGTTAAAAATAAAGAAAAGTACTGTCCTGTGACTTTACAAGGAAAAAGGAAACCTTCCCCTGTGTCGTAGTGTTAGGAGATGTGGAACATCCTGATCTGAGGTTTCTTTCAGGAAGATGTGGGTGTGGGGAGGTGAAGTGATTCCATGAGGGAAAGGCAAAAACCACTTTTGTTGACGCCAAGATGTTAATGGGTGAGGAATGTCCTATGTGGGTTGCCCAATGTGTCACTTTATTGGCAGGGGACGTCCTGATCCTGGGGTCCCAGAGACAAAGTAGAAAAGCTCATTAGCAGCTCCCCAGTAAGCAAGTGGAGATTGTTCTCCCAACCAGGAGTCTCCATAAGGAGAGAGAAGGTGCTTATTAATAACTTTATGTTAGCTGGCAGTAGGAATGCCCTGATCTAGCTGCTTTCAGGGGAGCCACATTAACCTGATAGCTCTCCTAGGTCATGTTTCCTTACCTTTCTGCTCTGCCAACCTTATCCATGCAATCTAAATTGGGTCCACCTTGGATACATACCTCAGGCCTTGGAACGCAGCCCGTAACTATGTCTCTAAAAGTGTGTTATGTGGAATATGCATTCATTTCCTGGCTATATAGCCTTCCCTTAGCCCAGAAATCAGCACATATAATGCTTGTGAAGTGTCTGACCTTTATGGGAATTGCATTGGACGATGGAGAATAGGGAGCGAGGAAGCAATTTGTTCCTGTTTTCTGACCTGCTTAATTTATGCTTTAGGTTACAGAAAAGTTCTCAGAGGATTACTCAGCAGCCAGAAGGCACAGGCGCTTTAGAACTGAGCTCACTTCCTGGCGTGAAGAGCCTCAGGCCATCTTCTATTCCCAGCTAGAGAGAACGAAAGTCGGGTTGTTTCTCCATTCGTGGCTTAGCATCTAAGAGAGACAGGCAGAGACACACAGAGAGGTGCTCCAGTGCCTCTGCTGAACCATGGTGGTGCAGAATAATCTGGACCTTGGGGATTCTAGAAAATGGATTGTGCTGGAGCCATTTATCCACCAGGTTGGAGGCCACATGAGCATGATGAAGTATGATGACTACACCGTCTGCAAACCCCTCGTCTCCCAGGAGCAATGGTTCTACGAGACTCTCCCTGCAGCAATGAAACGATTCACACCTCAGTACAAAGGTAGGCTCAAGACCCCAGCATCTACTGGAAAGTAGGTCCCTTTGAATGTTGAGTAAACATAATTGAAATCAGGCCACAAGATTCAATGTTAATGCAAGAAAGAGGGTTTGCATTCAGTGATTGGTGTTTATTGCATGGTTCCCAGAGGGGTGCCGTCTGTTGTTCCTCATCATCAGTTACCAAAGCTGAAAGAAAAGAGTGTGGTGGGGGGAACAGCAACAGTGGTGATGGACTTTGCCAATAATGCATTTTGGTGAGGAAGGCTTGCCATCCCCTTCTTCCCCATGCAGATCAGACCACTAATAATTTTTAATTTCCGTCTGATCAGGGTTACAGGAATTGTCAGTGCTCAGTACTCCACTGTCAGTGCTGTGCCTGCGTCAATCTCACAGTCACAGCCTGTAGCCGAAGACATTGTGCAAGCAGAACTAGAAACTGCTCGGTCTACAATTACACGATTGCTTTCTGCAGTACAAAAACACCTGTGCCATGGAGAAATTATTTGCTGCTGAAAAGTAGCCAAAATATGTAGGCCAGTTGTTGTTTGCTGCTTGTGAAGGAAAATGAAATTTGATACACAAGTGAAAACATGGGGCTAGATCTAACATTCGTCATGCTAAGGTTGTGTACGCATTACTGTTTACTGTGAATCCAATGGGCTCCCGCTGCTGGTGTTTGAAGCCATGTATGTGTGACAGTAGCCACCATCCAACTATATCCTGTAGTTTACTGAGAAGTACTGCTGATTGGTGCACTTTCTCTCAAACCAGTTTCCATTTGATTTGAAAACAAAAACCATGATTAAGCTGTGAAGGTGAAAGCAAGAAGAGGTAACTTCACCATTATAAAATGTTGCCAACTTTTTGTACAGCAGGGATGGGAACTTGTAGCCCTCTGACCAATGGTCAAGGATAATGGGCGTTGTAGTCCAGCAGCATTTGGAGAGACACAGTTTTCCCATTGCTGTTTTATCAGGTCAGGCTACAACCCATACAGTGGTACCTCGGGTTAAGAACTTAATTCGTTCCGGAGGTCCGTTCTTAACCTGAAACTGTTCTTATCCTGAAGCACTACTTTAGCTAATGGGGCCTCCTGCTGCCACCGCACCACTGCTGTGTGATTTCTGTTCTAATCCTGAAGCAAAGTTCTTAACCCAAGGTACTATTTCTGGGTTAGCAGAGTCTGTAACCTGAAGCATCTTTAACCCGAAGTACAGTGGTACTTGCAAATCATTACTTTCATGCTAGCTGTGCCTTTGTATGAACAAACATCTGCAAGCCCCCAAAAAGGTTGTTGTGAGGACTGCAATCTCAGGTGGTCAGGAAACTTCACAGGTACATCTGGGAACGAGACATGAGAAAACAGGAGGGAAAGAGGATGGAAGACAAGAGGGGTGGATCAAGCTCCTTTCAAAGATACAGAAACAGGAAGAGAAGGGGAAACCCATTTACAACTAAGAGGCGAGGCCTCTGGTGTCCTCCTCATTTAGAATTTCCCTGTTGACACTGCAAATATCTCACTTGTTGCAATGTCTGTTTGTAAGTAATACTACCTGGGATTCACAGTGTTTATTTCCATTTGAGGAGGCCTCTGTGCACATTTCACCTCCCATAATGAGACTGCATCTGAGAATGAGACAAACAGGCCTTTAGCTGAGCATTAATAGACACACTTTTTGTTGATAAAATGTCTTCGAAACGGCAACGGCAACAGCTACTGTTACAAGCCACCCAAACCCTTCAGTATACATGCACTTTTAGTTTTAATTCTGACAATGAGTGCTACTTGTTGACAATGGTGGGTTGGTTTGTTCTTAAGGTTGCAATTTTAATTGTCCATCCCTTTCTTCTGAATACAGTGATTCTTCGGTTTAAGAACAGTCCGGTTTAAGAACAATTTGTTTTACAAACTCCGCAAAACCGGAAATAGTGTCTTGCTTTGAGAACTTTACCTGGGTCTATGAACGGAATCCGAACGGTGGAAGGGCACCAGCGGCGGGAGGCCTCATTAGGGAAAGTGCGCCTCGGTTTAAGAACGGTTTTGATTTAAGAACGGACTTCCGGAACGGATTAAGTTCATAAACCAAGGTACCACTGTAGTGTTCTTATGCAGTTACACTGTTACATTGCCATTTCTTTGTGATCTGGCACAGACCTTTCATCAAGCACACTGAGACCATTCCAGAAGCACTTCCATCCCCTTACTCAGCAATAATTTGATCTTTTTCTTTAATGAGACCCCAAGGATTCCCCTACAGAGCTAGGCTGCCACCTTGAATTGGTTTAGAGAGAAACAGGTGCTTGTTTGACAATCCCTCTTCTTGGCAGGAACCCCCCAAATCAGTGATGTCTTCTTGCATAAGGTTAATATATTCATGTTGCTGTACTCAAATAAGCTGGTGCACTTCTGTGACTAAGAAGAGCATGACCTGGGAAGGCCAAATGATGCCTCTTCTATTAACTCACTAGGTGGTCTTCGGCAGGTCAACCACAGTCAGCTTCAGCTACTACTACTCCCAGCCTGCAACATGGGGTTGTTGTCAGGATTACTGATAATAATGGATTGCATCCAACTAAGGTCTGCTCTGAGTAGGACTAGCATTGAATACAGCCCTATGTATGTGATGTAAAGCTTTAAAATACTCCATTAAGTGTTATATACAGTGGTACCTCGGGTTACAGACGCTTCAGGTTACAGACTCCGCTAACCCAGAAATAGTACCTTGGGTCAAGAACTTTGCTTCAGGATGGGAACAGAAATCGTGCCGCGGCAGCATGGCAGCAGTGGGAAGCCCCATTAGCTAAAGTGGTACCTCAGATTAAGAACAGTTTCAGGTTAAGAATGGACCTCCAGAACGAATTAAGTTCTTAACCTGAGGTACCACTGTACATGCTATTTATCATTAACCAAAGGTGAATGTGAGATCTCCCCCCCTCTCCATTAGCAATTTGCTGGAAGGCTGTGCTTGTTTAGATGTGAAATCCACGGTCTTAGAAAGCAAAGTCATGGGGGCAGGGCAGGCAGATGGAATCATCATCAGTCTAAACAACATTAACACTCAGCATTGATCTTTGCCCATTTCCTGCTCTCCTAAGTCACATTGTAAGGTGAGCCAAGATACAGGACACCAGGCATCTGGTCTGAATCTAACTGGCACTGGGGATCATGTGTCTAGAGCTGACATCATCTCCTCTCTCCCAGAGAGGTACCGCATGCTCCAGAAGGCAAATTCCACTATCTCTCAGCTCACTAAACAGTAATGCTTGCTCTAAAGTGCCAGGCGGGGGAAGTTCTGACTTCTTTTTTAAGCCTGGGAGAAGGAAACGTTATTCATCTGATGCTGAAAAGACTTTTAAAAAGGTACCAGGCTAACCTCTCAGGGGAGGCGATTCCATAGCTAGGGGTTCATGCCTGGAAAGACCCTCTCCCTCACTTCACTGGGTGGGGGCACTCAGAACTGGGCCTCTGAAGAGGACCTCAAATATATTGGCATAGCCAATACTTAACTGAGGTTCTGCCCTCTCTAAGTTGAAGCCTGCCCCCTCCCAACATAAATCCTGGCTACACCCATGTATACAGGAAAAAGTGTATATGAGCATATCACACCCGTGCTTCCCTGTCCTCACTAGCTCCCAAACTGTTTCGGAGACCAATTAAAAATGGCAGTGTTGAACTTTGAAAGAATTACAGTTTGGGACCAGGGTACCTGAAGAATTGTCCATCACCACTTGAAGCTACCCAAACCTTAAAATTCTCTTTGAAGGGCCTTCTCCAGATACCCCTGCTGAGTGAGGTACAGTGGGTTTCTACTGGGGAAAGTGCTTTTTCAATGGTGGTACCCTAGCTGTGAAATGCCAGCCTTGGTATCTTTTCTGATTTTTAGCTGTGATCTGGTTTTCGGTGTTCATCCTTACATGGGCTTCATGGCTGATTTTATGTTCTTTGTTTTCTGTGGATGAACATGTTTAGTGTGTTTGTTTTGCTTTAAAGGATTTTATAGGGTTGTTGTTGTAAATTGCTTTGGGACTTTTCCTGTGTGAAGCAATTCATAAACTGGATGAGTTGAACCGCACTGAATTTTTGGTGCCAAGCAAAGACCTTTTCCTGGGATTTTTAATCAGCTAGTTTCTGAGTCCCTATTACCTGTCCCACATGTTTTATTCAAATGTATGAAATTTTAGCTTGTTTTTAATTCTATTACAAGCTGCCCCGAGAACCAGGCTATTGGGAGGCCTATAAGTACTTAGGAAAGCATAGAGACGCTTATACATAGTTAAGAGATTAAAAAGAAACAAATTAGGAATCTAGAAGCATGCTTCTTAAAATCTAAAAACAAAATTTTGTTACTCTAATCTACACAGACCCACGATAAAATGTGTTTTGAATGAAACATCTGTGAAAGAAGAGAGAGCCTTAAAGATCTAAAAGAGCTTGTAATCAATACATTTTCAAAATAGGATCAGGGAAGTGAACTATCAATATGTATTATGGGATAAGAGGCTCTTAAACTGATATTCTTCTATCAAACGCTTTGCTGCCTGCCTTAACCAAAAAGTTATTATTTCGCTCACTCCCATTATTTTTTCTAAAGCACGTTAAAAGCAGTTCAGCTCACACACTTCCTCCACTGTTGTTAATTAACTTCTCCCTAGTGACTGTAAGTAAAGCAACAGAAGACAACGCTGCCCCAACCCAAACTCCTTATGCCTCCACCTCTCTCTCTCTCTCTCTGTGAGGCAAGATAAAAAGCATTTCCCTCATGTCCTGGGCTGGCAGATTTCCATGGAAGCATAACATATAGAGGTTTTAGAGACAGCACCTGCATTTTAAGGCTTCTCTTTTAGCTCAGCCTCTTGCCAATATTTTGTCTTGGATATGCGAGGTGTTCCCTATTCATGACCCAGTAAAGGCAACTAATGCTCCCTCAATGGCCATTTGAGAAAGAGCCTCAGGATGTATCTCTTTACTTTAAAAACATTTTTACATCTCCACAATTCCAGTGATGAAGCCATGAACCTTGTCTGAGGATCAAGACCCCTCTGCAGATTTTTGTCTTGTCTCCTGCCTCTTTCTTTAGTTTGTCTTGTGCTGCTGTCTGCATGCTGACATTCCCCATTTCTAGAGTTGGGGGAGGAAAGGAAGGTAGAGGAATTTTCATAGCGCAAGTCTGCTCCCAGGATGGGTTGCACCCAGCCTGCTGCCTCAAATGGCCACAGGATTGTTTACTCATGAGTAGGTCTGCCATCAGTTAGATGCTTCAGATATAAATATTTTGGTCAATGCCCAGTAGAGAAGATAAAAAGGAAACAAAGCACATAAAACACAATAATATTTGTTAAGTATAATACAGTATTAAATGTGTAGTTTAAAACAATGTTGATACTTTAAAAAACAACCAATGAAAAATATAAAATAATTATTTTTAAATGGTATAAAACAAGGTAAGGCACTAATAATTCTAAAAGTAATACAAGATACTGTGCAGCAAATTTTTAAATTTTAATTGTATATTTTACTCCCAGAGAGAGGCACTTTTGGGATTTCCTGCCTCAGCTGCCAAAAACCCTTGGCCAGCCTTCATTATTATTTACCTTAACGTGGAGGGAGGGGGTGCCTTTAGCTGTTCAGCCTCAGACAGCGAAATATATTGGGCTGGCTCTGCTCTTTTCCATTAGGCAAAATGGTAGCCTAAATGTCAAAAGGAATACCTGTCCACTCTCTGGCTTGGATTCACCAGTGTGGCTGGACCTTGGTTCTATTTTTATACACCCTGAAGGCTTCACAGAAGCCTAGGCACCATTGCGTAAGAAAGCCATTTTGCAAAACTTTGCTTGACTATTGCTACAATCTAGGCTGCAACCATATGTACTTGGGAGTTCAGTGGGACTTACTTCAGAGTAAACATGCATAGAATTGCAGTGCCTGTTTACAGAGACGACAGCTCATTTTATGCATTTCCAACAGGAAAACATGACCTTGAAACAAGTTTGCTTCTCTCTCTCTTTCCCAAAGCTGCCTACTGAGAACTACTGTGAAATTACAGATTTGTTTTTCAGGCCAGGTTCTGCCCAGATTCATATTGCACATGGCAGTAAATAAATGTGCCTATTAATTTAAAAATATACACACAAGAATGGAGCTAGGGAGCTACATAGCAAAACAGCTTCTGAGAATTGCTGAGATGCTTCTAGCATGCTGATACCTTCTATAAATACTCTCTGCCTGACTAATTTGCTATACACATACCCCAACTGAATCACCAGGGGTACCAAAATGAAGGCTAAACCAAGCCTTCAGGGTGTAGAAATCTGGTAACAGCTTTTGCCCCTTCGGTGATACATTCTAAACTGTAGCAAAGCCCATTGCAGAAGCTCATGCACTGAAACCAAGTTGCATGTGCTGGTGGGTTTTTTGATCATATGTTGCACATACCAGTGAATTGAAGTGCCATGAAACTCTTGGCTAGTTTTGTTGCAAAAGATTAACACGCGCGTGCCCCCCTTCTCTGGAATATGTGACAATTAATTCTCTAGCCCATTCTTCGACTGAGCTTTGCCATAAAAATACTGGTTGGCCATTCCAATTAGTATACACCAATTGCATCAGGTCAAGAGAAATAGGTCGTATTTGCAAAAAGTGTGGGTCCCAACCAATTGGTCCCAAACCTCCAAATGTAACTGTTGAGACATGGAAATAAAGTATAGGGAAGTGGCTCCCTCATTGCTGCTTTAACCTATGAAAGGTCAACTCACTTTGGATATGTCAGGGTTTTGCCACTAGCTTATTGATCATTGGGAACAAAGTTTAACAAGTATAGTTAGGGTACAGAACCTCTCCTTCAGAGGTTTTCAAGAAGAATTGAGCAGGCATTCATTACAGATGCCTACAGAATAGGATGCTTTGCCTCAGATTAGACTGCATGGTCCTTCAGATCCCTTCCAAAATTTCTGATTCTGTTCCAGTGCATGAGTTTTAGGTTATGTTTAAGACTTCTTGGTCTTGGACAAAATAAGTGTTATGTTATGCAGCCATTCAGTGTCTATTCCCTCCTCCTTGTTTGGCAAACACACACACACACAAAACACTAATTGATTCATGAACAAAAATAGATCTGGTGTTTCCCCCATCCCCCCACCTCTTAGGGTATATAGCCAGAGTCAGGACCAAGAATTTCTGCATGTTGAGAGCATGTTAGCTCAGCATTCCCAACACCCCATAATCAAGAGGTGGAAATCATACTGATCTCAGATTGTCCAACACTGGCCAATTCTGCTGAAAATAAGAGACCTTTCAGTACTTCTGTCTCTGCTTTTGGTTTAACTCTGCAGCACAGAAGCTATCTGCTATGGGAGCAACCATTCAAGCACAGCCATATATCTGTGCTGGTCTTATATTTTGAGCAGCTGTGAAAAAGAGGAGGGCCCCAAGAGTCTTAATGCTGATCACCAAGAGACAACAGCTGCTTAGGATATCTGAGTCAAGCTAGGGAAGCATCTTGAATGTGAAATACATGCAGAACTAGGTTAGTAGAGTAAGAAGATGCTGTGCTTCATGAGCATTTTTCCCCCTGTAAGACAGTGGACAGATAACAGCTCCTGGAGTTAACGGTGCAGGAGATTGCCTACAAAAATACATTTAGGGTGCAATCCAAACCCTCAATCTGCCCTGCTGGAGGGGGATATTGGATGGGGTAGATGTCTCCATCCACCCAGCCCACAATAGCTCTGCCAGCATGTGCAAAGAGAGCTCTGTCTGCTGAAGCTGCAGGTAGGTGGAAGTTCTGCTGGTGGGCTTCCAGCTTCTGGCAGCTTAGGGAAAGCCCCAAAATGGGGCATTGAGGGGCAGGTGAGCTACTGAGCAGGCTCAGGACCTGCTGCCTCCTTAGCCAGATGCCATTTGATGGCGTCAGGCGCCATCCAGGCTCTGTTCCTCCATCATATCTCACCACTGCTTGGCCGTGGTTTGGATTCCTCTGCCACTCATCAAGTATTGACAAAATCGGGGGTGTTGGCTATCTCCAGGTTTTGGAATAGAGAAGAAAACCAGGTCCTCATGCTTCATCAAATCTCCTGCACTCGGTATCAGTGGAAGGGGCTAATATGTGGAGCAACTTCTGTAAAATGGCTGCCAACACACAGCCGCAGGCCAGAAGGGCATCAGTTGGCAACCCTGCTCTGTCCCGAGTTCCCACCAGAAGATTTGGAAGCCTCTGGGCACTGCTGTGAGCAGCTCACATGGCCCAGAGGAGTCCTGACTAATCCTCAAAGGGCAGTCGCTATGCAAAAGACTCTTCAGCTGGCCCTGCAGTGCGGAAGTTGGAGCTGGGGATGAAAAGCGCAGTGTGGCTGTGCCTGAAGGAAGAGGGACAACTGCCGCTGGCCTTTCTTCCAAAGGTCAAAGCTGCCTCCTCTGCAAGCCATGCCCAAAAGCAATCTGTCATTTGAGATCTTCTGGGCTGCAAGTGTGATCACTCAGGCTTTATTGGGAGTGGAGTAAATATATAAAAGGTTACCCATTTGGCACTTCAGCCATGTGAGTCCCATTAAAGTCAGCAGGAAGGAACTTTGCTGAAATACAGGGTGCAAGTTTGGCGCAGTAGATTAGGGACTCTCTCTTTGGGGCTGCCTTGTCACAACCCATGGCTTAATTCTATACCCTAGTCCTGATTTTCACAGTATGGAAGGGCTCTCCAGGTGGTTGCCTCGCAGCCCCAATTTGGATGTAGGATATTGAAGGTTTATCCATTCATACAGGCCACAATTCCTCTGGTATAGCACCACTTGCAAACCTGAGGTTCTGCCCTCCAAGGGGGGAGAGGGGGAGAAAGGGCATTTGGGCTGGAATTTATCTGATCTCTACAACCAGCCCTTCTTAGATGAGTCTCTTGTCTTTCTTCCCTCTTCCTCTCGCTTTATCACCTTTGTTCTTCCTTGGGGAAAGGACATGCCATTTTGGCTTATGTTGTTTCTCAATGGCCTATATAAAACAAAAAGAAAATGTGGATGCAGGGGGTTTTTTGGGGGGGGGCCGACCGCAAAGTACTCTGCAGTTAGTGCAAGGCAGCTTTTTAATTGTGCAAGCATGCGTTTCAAAAACCACATCAATACAGCATCTGTTTGTTTCTTTTTACAACAACAAAAACCTCAGCTGAAGCATCACAGGTGCAGCAGACAACTAATTTGGAACTACTGCCCTCCCAAACTATTATTACTGTTGTTATTATTATTGCATTTATATGCCATCTTTTATCCAAAGAGCTCCAGGTGGCATACGTGGTTCTACCCCCTCCTCATTTAATCCTCACAACAACCCTCTGAGGAAGCTTAGGTTTAAAGGCAGCGACTGGCCAGGGAATTTCATGGCCAAGTGAGGATTTGAACTCTGGTCTCCAGCACTCTAACCACTGCACCACAATGGCTCTCACGGGTTTGAGGATCAGGGATAAGAACAGGCATTCTGCCCACGGACTATTCTGAGCTTTTAGCCTTTGGGACATGGCAAGTTAAAACCCAAATAAACAAATGAACAATAATGAGGGCTATTTTGGTACGATACCGTCACACTTGTTCCTGCTTAGAATATCCTGCTCTAAAATATTCCAACAACAAGATCCGCTGTCTTAAGTACGCCAGACCTTGCTTTCGTTTTCCATGGTGTTTTATTTTAGGGCAATACCTATTGCCACACATGTGAAATCTGAGCAATGTGGGTAAGGGCCTGTGCTATCCTAGAACATGCAAAGCAGCAGGTCTCATATATAAAGGAAAGGCTAAAGGGTAGATAATAAGACCACTTACCACTGCTTTCGTCCCAGTTACAGATGAGAGGGCAGCCGAGGTCGGGGGGGACGGGACAACACAATCAAGCTTTAAGAACGCTCGTAAGATTTCAGGAACTGGGGTTTTTTTATCTGATTGCCTTATTTGAAGGTTCGGGTTCTGCACAGGAACAGTTACTAATAGTGAAGTAAAGTTGTGTATGGCAGGAGAGCCATGCCTTAAAATCAAACTGTTGCTGAATTCCTGTAAAGCGGGAGTTCGGGTTAATTTGAAGTGCAGGAAGAGAACACTGAACTCATGCTTTATTCTCTTAAAACACTTCCCCATGCCATTTCCCCCAGTGGAAATACTGGATGTAACTTCCACTGAGAGAGAAAGAGATAGGAAAAGCAGCTTCAGGTTAAGGGATGGTTCAGCACTCACTTCTCTCTCACACACACACCCATGCTGCACTTAGGTCATTTGCCCCACGCTCCAGTTTATAGGATAGATTTCATATGAAGTACAGTGTTGGAATGGAGATGAAAGGAAAAGGCATTTCAGAGAGGTCAAGTACTGTTTTCTGACGCATGCCAGGGAACATGCTTGAGTCCTGAAAGTCAAAGATCTAAATAGAACTAGCTTAGAACTGTCTGTAGCTTCTTCCTATGCAACTACAAATGCTTTCATAAGTTCTCTTCACACAATATAGCCACACTCCCCACAAAGAGCAGGTTCATAGTCTGAGGGTGCTTCTGGATCCATCTTTGTTGCTAGAGGCCCAGGTAACCTCCAAAGCTAAGTGTGCTTCACGCAATACTGCTGGGACAGCTCAGCTGGTAGAGCATGAGATTCTTAGTCTCCTGAGTTTGAGCCCCACATTGGGCAAAAGATTCCTGCATTTTTTGACCCTTGTGGTCCCTTCCAACTCTACAATTCTGTGATTGTATGATAGCATCCCAAGAAACCAAAGTCATTTCATTTTTGCCCTAACCAAACGTAGGTAATGGCTTCACAAATTATCTATGGCATACTAACCAAATTCACAAACAAAGGATGGGATCCAACATTGCATTGTGATGAAAGTTCCATCTGCACAAGCATTTCAGCTTGCCAGGTGGAACAACCCCCCCCCCTCACCCCACCTCATGTGCTATTCTTAGGGGTTCCCCTGACTTCCCCAGAGCTAATTTGGGGGGGGGGGTCCATTGGGGAAGGGGAATCCCTGTCGTGCAAATGGGGTTTATTAGGTGAATTCCACCCTAAGTAATTTGGAGGAAACCAATATTTGCAGAGGTCCTCAGTGGAAGTAAATTGCAAGGGTAACTGGCTGTCTCGTTAAAAGTACTTGTGAACCTTTTTACTCCTCCCAGCACTGATATACTGTACTGCAGGTGAACTTACATCTCTCACATTTTCATTTTTGTCTTTCCTTTAAAGGTATTGTTTCTGTACACCTCAAGAAGGACAGCATGGGCAATTTGAGCCTCATAGCCTGCCCGCAAACGGATAACCGCAGTTCCCTGGACAATGCCTCCAAGGAGTCTTCAATGACAATTTGGCAGAAGCTCAACCAGGCAAACACCAGCAGTGGTGACCACACGTTTGTCAAATGGAATCATGGCCCACTCACAAACACCGCCAAAGACAGGTAAGGAGCCCACCTCCAGCAAAACATGCACCTGTGCAATTCCCCTGCTTCACAAAGCAGCAGTGAACACACCTGGGTTGAACTCAGGTTGTCCTCATCCTTGAGGGTAGCTCAAGAAATGGGAATTCCACATGGAAATAGGAACTGCACATAACATTAGTCTATCCCAAGGGATGCAAAAGCACTGAGAGCAATTGGAAACGCATTCAGCTTTCACACCGAGGGACGTAACTCTTTTCAGTGGCAAAGTCCTTGTTTAAAGCATCACATGTTGAACAGAAGTTAGTGCACTTGGCTTCAGTAAGGGGCCATATTTCCTTCCCTCATAAACTAAACCAGGAATGAAGAGCCATGTTGTCTGAGGGCTGCATTCCTGTCTGGGCAACCTTCCAAAGGGCCACATGGCAGTAGTGGTTGGGGCCAGAGGGGAAACTGGACACGGCAATGGATGTAAATGTTACCTTTGTTGGGTAGTTTCTGCACACACCTTTCTATTCTCTATGCAGACATGCAAGAGGCACCATCAGAGTTCAAGGACGCATCCCAGCCAGGCTTAGAAATATGCACTAAGTTTTACTGGTGTCACTGGCGCTTACGCATGTTGAACTTACACAATTTCAGCTTTGCATGATTGCAAACCAGCCGGTCGAAATCACACAAATCAAATGCATGGAACACAGAGAGCTTCAGAGCTCTTTCTGTGCAGGGTTTTCCCAGTGCATAAAAAAATCCACCTGAGAGCCTCTCGGGCAAGGTGGAGAGCTTAAAAGCCTTGCTGGCAGGGTAGGAGGTAAGACCAGCATGCCATCTCCATAAGGTAAGATTGCCCATGTGGCAGTTCCAAAGGGTTGCTTGGACTATACATGTTTTTGTGTATACATGCCATCTCCAGAACGTAACCCCTGTGAGTTACCTGCAAACATGTTTAGGGTCAGATGATAGGCTATTACTTCTAGATAGTAGGCTAATCATATCCCCCTCCTTTTTCTTTTGCATTGTGCGTAGCTGCCAGGGGAAAGCAGTATTACAGACAGACCTTCAGTACCACAGAGACGTGTCTTCAATTATGGAGGATGCCAATGGGAACCAGCCAGAAAAGAACAGCTATAATCCCTGGGGACTGTACTGCCATAAACAGCATCTAAACCGCATGTCTTCGAAGTATAATGAGAACAAACTTCATCGTATCTTTTTCCTAGCTGTTTTTCTACATTTTATTTTATTTTTATAATCCCAAGGTTGCAATGCAGAACTCCCAGTATCCCTTTCACTTTTAATAATAGATGAGCATTTCAACATACATATATATATTGTGGATAACTTGTTCTAATTTTAGGCTCTAGTAGTACTGGATAAAATAGAAATACATAAGGAACAATCCCGTACAGTTTAGTCATAATAAGTAATGGTATTTGTTTCAGTGGGACTAGGGCTGGAACACTTACTTGGGAGTAAGTGCATGGAACTCAATGAGACATACTTACAAGCAGGCAGGTATCACAGTGTTAGTCACAACTAATATATGCTGGATTTTGCCCACATTCCCAAGCTCTGTATGAACCTTGTCTCAAAAATACTGAAACAATAAATAAAAAAAATGCAAATAAATGTTTATATTATTTCTAGTCCACCTTATAACAGAAGTGCCATGTTCACAATATCGGAGGGAGGAGAATTGCATCTCAGAGATTTTTAGCTTCACTGTTTTATTTCGTGGATAGGAAGCTGAGTTTCAAAATATGAAAAGCTGAGTTTTGCACTCCTCTTATATCACTTTGACAATTTTTTAAAGCTATGCATTCAAATGTAAAAGTTTCAAAGGGAAGTTTTAAGCAGTCTGGATTTGCCCTGATTTTCCTTTCAGCTCTACTTTATTTTCACTCAGTGGAAAAAAGGGGGGGGGGGAGTCTACATGCACAAAAATCTGTCTGAAGTCATGTAAGACCCAGCTCCTGATACACATCTCAAAGCCCAATCATGTAATAAGAACTTCCTAGCAACCTTTATGCATTGGTTGGTGTCCTTTATACCTGGAAAGCCTCCACCAGCCTTTAGCAGTGACTGAAAATGATGGACAGCTCAGAGGCAGTAGAACACCCCCAGGATAAATGAGTTGAGATGGAAACAAAAAGCTGGTCAGGGGAGCTAGCGCAGGTGGACTGCAAAGTTTTGCTACAGTTGTAAACCTAAGTAAAAAAAATTGATTTCCTTAACTCATGTGTCCAGAATTTTTGTTGCTTGAAAATGTGGTATCCAAATATAAATGCCCTTGCATTCTGGACTTAAAGATGGGAACCAGACAGCATGGTGATGATGCATCAGAAGAGAAGAAAGCACGCCAAATAAAGAAGTGTGAACAGAGCACATCAGCATCCCTTGGAGCCCGTATTTGTGGGATGCAGGTAAGAACAGCTCATTCTAGTGTTTCAAAAAAAGAAAAGAAGCACACAGGTGTGTCTTCAGAGAGTACATTCTTCAACAAAGAAATAGGGCTTGGAATGAAACTATAATATATACCAACTGAGAATGTAGTGTTAGAAAAAATAACATTATTGATTTTACAGCTCAGCTTTAGCCTATTTCCTTTGTAAAAAAAAATTGAGATAATAAACCTGAAATATTTGTTGATTTGTGAAGGTTGTCTAGCATAGAAAGGTGAAAGATACCTCCTAAATATTATAGCTTTTTTAGAAAAAACACCTCCTACTTCTTTATGCAAAAACAGAGTACAGTCCTCATGTTGTTGCAAATCAGTAACAAAATCCCCTCAGAGTAGCTGTTGTTGCTAAAACAATTAAGATTCCTGTAACACCCTAAAAATAAGAACAACCTATCAAAAATAACTTCTCAAATGGCTAATGTGTTGTCCTTTGTTCTTTTTTCCCAAGGTCTACCAGGCAGACACAGTTCAATATCTCTGCAAAGATAAGTACTATGGGCGGAAACTCTCACCAGACGGCTTCAGGCAAGCCCTCTTGCAGTTCCTTCATAATGGGAATCGCCTCCGAACGGATCTTGTGGAACCCATTGTGTCTCAGTTGAAGGCTCTGCTGTCGGTCATCAAAAAGCAGAACTCTTACCGGTTCTACTCCAGCTCACTTCTCATAAACTATGAGGGACTGGAGAAAGCAACACCTTCAGACAATCACCCTCAGGGACACTGTCAGCATAGTAGCTGCTCTCTTCCACATGGAAACAGCCACCCCAAAGTGGATGTCCGTATGATAGACTTTGCTCATACAACCAACAAAGGCTCTAGGTTTAATCACACCGTCTATGAGGGACCAGATAATGGCTACATTTTCGGTCTAGAAAACCTAATAAAAACTTTTCAGAGTATCTGTGTGGGAGAATGACAACGACTGAACTACCAAGAGACCTTGTGGTTGTAAAAGGCACACCCCGTACTTCAGAGCAATGGCTCTCCCAGCAACTATGTCACAGCCAGAGTTTTCAGGGGGTGAACGGATGGCATATTAGGAAAAACTCTGAAGATACTACATGCTACTGTGGATTACACAGAATCCATCATACCTGCGATCCATAAGAAGGTTATTGCCCTTCCTTGTTTTAACGTTGTCCATTCATATCATTTCTCAGCTAGAAGGAAATTGTACTTGAAAATCATTTTAGGACTTGTTCGTAAAGCACCATTTAGACTTGCAAGGCCGACAAACACATGCCGTGCTCCTGAAGAGGGTGGTGTAGATAGTTTAGCAAGTCCTTAAAAACCTCCAGCTTTACATTTTAATTCACTGTTTGATGGGCCAAGGACTTTCAATAAAGCAATCAGAGGACAACCATGCTCCACAAGCTCAGCCGCCACCAAACTCTGGCACTTTAAAAATGGGCTGTAGATCAATTCCTTGATTCTTTATATTCCATACCAGAGTGTGTGGGGGAAAGTATTCTCCAAGGAATCTATGTGTCAGCTGAAAGGAGTGAGTGAGTAAAGCAATAAAAAGCAGGCGCAGAAGCAGGCAGGGGCGAGATAGCCCCTCCTGGAATAAGGCAGTGCTTTCAAAGGTTCTCTGATGGAAGAGCTAGAAGGGCTGTTACGGAGAGGGTGCAAAATCTGTGGAATAACAGTCATAAATGAATTCATGTCATGGCTTTTTATATTGGAGAGACGTCACCTGAGGAATTAGACAGGCCTTGAAGACATGTGTGCACAGATATCAGGGTTAGGGCCCAGAGGCGGAGCTAGCTGCTCCGGCTCCCAGAGCGGCACACATGCTGTGTACCTGGGGTCGGGGCCATGGGGGCAGGGCGAGTGTCTCAGGGGGAGAGACGCCCATGAGGGCAGAGTGAGCTGCCCATATGGAGTGGAGCAAGCCACCCACAGCAGGCTGCTTTCAGGGGGAGAAGGGAGTTGCGCTGCTTTGCCAGGAGCCTTCCTCCCTTCCCTCTTCCTTTTGCCAGCTCAGGGGAGGCTCCCCTTCCACCCAGGAAGCAGCCTGGGGGCAGGGGGCAATGGCGCACCGCCCAAACGCGACTCCCAAACCTCCCCCAAGTTGTCAAAACGAAGGGGGAAGGCCGCTAGCAAGGCGGCGCACCTCCGCCCCTTCCCCCGACGGCTCGGGGTAGGCTTGGGAGTCACGGGTGGCCGCCACGTCGAATGTCACCCCCCTCAGTGATGACACCTGGGGCGGTCCGCCCCCGGCCCCCTTCCCCTGCCCCTGTTAGGGCCCAAGTGTCATCGAGATGTTTTGTGTTGCATTTCTGTGCATGTGTGTAAAACTTGACAAAATGTTTACAGACTTTGTTAATCTTTGTGAATATGGAACCACCAAATAATCGATTCCCTCCTGTGTCCTATGTCACATGGGAAAACTTGTTAGAATATGTTTAAATAGAGAGAAGCCCAAAATGGGAATGTCAAACTGTAAATAAATTGCATAGGCCGTGTAACGAACTGGTTAAGTCTGTGTTTCCTTTCTGCTGTTTCTTAAAGATCTGTTGGCATTGCATAATTGCTGTAAAAATCATCGTTTCCCCTCGTTTAAATTTCAGACCTCCAGGGAAATCCTTTTGCTGCCTATGTGTTGCCTGTGGCTTGCGAATAGCCGCAGATTGTGACAGGAAGATTAAATCATTAGGCCCAGTACATGCTCCGCTTAGACTGCTACCCAGCTGCAGGAAATTGCTAAAAGAAGTAGTTCACGATACCAAATATTGCTAACATGCAACTGACAGCAAGCATCCGGAGCAGAATCATTTGAGCTGTCAAAGTCTCCAGGCACAAATAGCTGTTGTCTTCATTTGCACTGCTCATAGAATTCAAATCCTTGTTAGACGTAAAAAGAAAAAAGAATCACTCTTCCCCACCCCTTCAAAAAGTAATTAATGCAAATCGAAGTTTCCAGAGGAATAGCCATTTCTGTTGCTGCAAAAACAACCAAGAGTATTGTGGAGACTTAAAAGCTACAGGTGCCATCTGGCAAAGTAGTACTCAGAGCAGTCATATGGAATCTCCATACATATTAAAAAAACACTGTGAAAATGCGTTTTTAAAAAAACATTTTGAAAAATAAATAGAATTCTGCATAGCTCAGTGTCGCCATCTAGTGTCACACTTGTATATTGCACTTTACAACACATTTAAAATGTTTTATTTGCAGAGTAAACCCACTGAAATCCATGGACTTAAGTTAACCAAGTTATATCTATTGATCTTAATGGGTCCACTATGACCACCAGATACCATCCTAGCACATTTTATTATGGCATGAAGTTTCATGGACTTGAGCCCACATCATCAGATGCAAATGTAGTTCATTTGCCAAGAGTAAGACAACAACTGTGCATTTTACATATTGTGGGCTATCCAACTAGCCCTTCTGTGTTAACCATATGGTTGCATCTTGGAAAAAAGAGCCTTATAATTTGTGTGGCTGTGCAGATTAAGATTGCAATTCTGTCAACATTTACTTTGCAGTAAATCCCAATGAATTCTTACTTTGGAGTAAGCATGAACAGGATGGTACAGCATAGCTGCAGTCCTGAACTTGCTTCTGAAAGACTAAGTCCCACTGCATTAAATGAGACTCACTTCTGAATTAACCCCTAAAAGGTACTATGCATCTCATAGATGAGAGTAAGAAAAAGATCGCCTCCAACTAGCCATGTAAAGCACGTGGCTTCCCCCAAAGAATACTGGGAATTCGAGTTTGTTAAGGGTACTGGGAATTGCTGCTCTGTGAAGGATAAACTACAATTCCCAGAATTCTTTTGGAGAAATCAAGTGTTAATCAAACTCAAACTTGCGCGCGTCTCCTTTGCTGCTTTGCATAAGACGACGCCCCTACCAATCCCTCTCCGCTCCCAACACGGGCGCACCGGCAAATACCGAAGAAAGAGCGCCATCCCTAAAGTCTTCCCAATCCAACGAATCTTCATAGAGATAGGAAAAACTTTTTGGTTTCTATGGACTCCGGCCCCGCACCCCTTGCGCAAACCCACAGAAACCTATCGAGAAATTCTGGATTTTACCGCAGCTGTCATTGGGCGGCCAAAGAAATTTCAAAAGATAGCAGCAAAGACAGGAGTCGTGCTCTTTGTAATTCGGGACTTGTTTCTTATTGTGACAAACGAATGCAGTTAGTTTCTGAACATTTATAAATGCAAAGTCTCCGCAGGCAAGCTTCTGTATGCTACTGGAGGAATTTAGGGAGATCGACTTTGGCTGCAATTTGGGGGTGTTTGGCGTGAATCTTTCTCTTTTCTTTCCCTCCCCCCCCGGAAAAAAAATCCAAGTAAGTCTTAGACTGAACCCCAAAGTGCAACCCTGCAGAGCTGTCATAAAGCGCTGGTCTCAACCGCACATTTTCCAACTTCGGGAAATGATGGTCGGCATTTGGAATTTGCATTGGCAGGGCTACTTTTCAAATGCTCAATTAGTCCCGAGTCAGGAGGAGGAGCATGAAGTCCCTTTGCCGCTAACTCTTAGTTTTCGGTGGGCACGACCCAGCTGTTCAAGCACAGCGACCGTATCCCAGATTTCTTCGTTCATTTCCATGAATCCGTTTCGCCAATGTAAATCCGGAATGTTGTCATCCTGAAAAAGAGAGGCACCTTTTTAATTTTTCTTATCTCTGCGGTCCCGCGGGTCTGGGAAGCTCTCTCGTTCCATCTGCGCAGGTACCAATCCGCTCTCTTCGCTTTCACTAGAGAGGAACTAAAGAGTCGGAGGAGCCAATCGCCGCGCCTCCGTTGGCAATACTAATGATGGGATTAGCATAGCGCAGACCACGTGAGCCACGCGCCAATGGTGTAGTTCAGGCGTCTGCCAAGATGGCGGTGACGCGGTACCGGCGCTTCTTGAAGCTCTGCGAGGAGTGGCCCGTGGAGGAGACCAAGCGCGGGCGGGACTTGGGCACTTTCCTTCGGCAGAGGGTGGCGCAGGCCTTCCGCGAGGGAGAGAACACGCAGGTGGGGCGGGGGCGACGCCCGGAGGGGGAGGGGGAAGGTCGGCGCCCTGGGCAGCTGGTGGTCCCCGTAGTATTTAATCCATATTTATGTGACGTGTTTGGGGTGGCCACCCTTGTTCTGGCAAAATACAGGGCGGTTTGATCTGGTCCTGAAGTGACTTCAAAGCAATACAATCTATTTCAGACGAACAGGACGGCCCATGTGGAACTTTTCACACGTGCATACATACACGCGAATTTGTAAACCTGTCTGTGCTTAACCACATGACCTTTCGCACGCCCTTTCCAACACGTGCATTTGGAGAGGATGCGTAACTTGGGCGAGAGAGAGCTCAAATACAGGACAAAAACAGGGCGTAGCATTTTGCATGAAATATAGGACAGTCCTGTATTATACAGGAGGGGTGGCAACCCTTGTGTGTTTGTGCCTCTGTGTGGTGCTTGCAGGTCCGGATTTAGGTTTGCTGAGGCCCTAAGCTACTGAAGGTAATGGGGCCCTTTATAAGTCCAGCTGTCCTTTGTCAACAACAAATTGTCACTGCTTTTTTTGTTGAACATATGCTATATGGTAATTTATGGACCTAATAGGTATCTAAAGCCATTTGCACATAACAAAATATGTATTTTATCAAAGTAATTGTTGAACTGAAATACAATTAAGAAGAAGTCTCTTAAGAGTGAAAAAAAATTAAGCTCTCACTGTTTTATTTTGTTTATTTTTTATCTTATATTTTGGAAAAGTACATCCAATATTTTTTTCCTTAATTTTTTTTTGGGCCTCCAAGAGGGTGGGGCCCTAAACTATAGCTTGTTTAGCTTATACGTAAATCCGGCACTGGATATTTGCATAGTGTAATGGTGAAGAGACAGCGCAGGCTTCTGGTGCTTATTCCCAAATATAGTCGTACCTTGGAAGCCAAACAGAATCCGTTCCGGAAGTCCGTTCGATTTCCAAAATGTTCAGAAACCAAACCGCGGTTTCCGATTGGCTGCAGGAATCTCCTACAGCCAATCAGAAGCTGCAGAAGCCACGTCGGACTTTCCGGCTTCCAAAGAACATTCGCAAACTGGAACACTTCTGGGTTTGTGGTGTTTGGGAGCCAAAAGGTACAAGTGCCAAGGCGATCGGCTTCTAAGGTACAACTGTATTTCTGTGTCTTCAGTGAGGCTTACTCCCCAGGTAAGCGTGCACAGGATTTTAGCCTGAATCAAGCAGGCCCTAAGGTGAGTCATGCCTGTGCTCAGGGCCAGCCCAAGACATTTTAGCACCTGAGGCGAACCATTAAGATGTTTCCCCCCACTTTCCAGGCCAGGGAAGAAGGGGGCGTGAAGATCTACATCAGGGACAACTGGAGAAGAAAGCTCTTCATCGGTATATACTACCCTGTGGATCCTGCTGCCTGAAGTGGTTGCCTCATGCTAGAGGCTGGCCCTGCTAGAGTATCCAGATTCGAACACAGGGTGGGGTCCCTGCAACTTTAATAGTTGTTCAGAAGAGGGGTGCTTTTGGCAGGTGTCCCTGCCATGCAAGCAATTTTTAAGGTGCAGGAACCCTGCCTTTTATATCTATGGGCCTCGTCCAAGACATTCTGCTGCCTGAGGTGAATCCTTCCCTCCCCAAGTCAAGAGGTGGAGTACATCAAGGCCAGTCATATTATTTGAGCAGCTGAGGCAGAAATTCCTACAAGCATCTCTCCCCTGTTCTGGCAGTAAAATACATTAATAAATGCATCACAGTTTGGTACCTTTTCATGAATCTCAAAATCAGCTGCCTCTTGTGCTGCCTAATATTAGAGCCAGCACTGTGCATCTGACCACTCTGCTACCAGGTTTCCAGGAGAATTAATGAACTCCATTTTAGAGCTCAAGTCAGTATCTAAATGCTTTTAATATATATGTATATATCTTATTTGAGACCTCACTCTTTGTTTAATGGGACTTGGTGCCAAGGGGCAGAGCAATCTGTACCCCACTTGCAATGGGTTGGGAAGGATAAGCTAAATGGGCAGGAGTGCCATTGAGGGGATATCCAGTAACAGTGCGGAAGATCCCCAAATGGGGTATTCTTGGGTTTGAGCCAGTCTCACTGTTGCTGTGCAACAGCATGAGGCCCAATCCAATTGTACGTTGTAATTGTACTCCCCCCGCTACCTCAGTCACTGCTTGCACCAGGGCTCTGAATGCAGTATTAGCCATGCAAGCAGCAGGAGTGAGGGTTGAGTTACAACTTTAAAATGCAGGTTGCTTCACTGTGTGGGTTTTTGACACTTCAGAATGAAAAGATTCCATTGGAAATGGGGTGACAAGTTAGAAAGTTCTTCAGGTTTTTTCCTGTGTAAGGTGGGATTGCCCTCCACCGCAGCATGTGGCAAGGAAGAATATAAATGTAATTATGATATCAGTTGCATGAAATTCTCTGATAAACTGCTCTTGGCAGGAGTAAATGATTGAAGTGCTGTATAAAAATACTTAGATAAATTCACTTCTCCCCAAGCCACTTACAATGACTGCTGTGTAGTGTCCATAGCCTCTGTTTTTCTCTGGATTATAGCACAATTTTTGAAAAGACCCAATCACAGGAACACACCTCTTGTTCCAGGTAGCTTAAGAGGTTAAGGCTGTGGCTTTAATAGCATATACAGTGGTACCTCGGGTTAAGAACTTAATTCGTTCCGAAGGTCCGTTCTTAACCTGAAACTGTTCTTAACCTGAAGTACCACTTCAGCTAATGGGGCCTCCCACTGCTGCTGCACCACCGCTGAACGATTCCTGTTCTCATCCTGAAGCAAAGTTCTTAACCCAAGGTACTATTTCTGGGTTAGCGGAGTCTGTAACCTGAAGCATCTTTAACCCAAGGTACCACTGTATAGAGACTTTTGGCAAGTACATTTCGGCATGCAGTGGTGAAAAGAGCTGCACATGTTGAAATTCCCTCTTTTGACTGACTCCAGTAAAATATACTCTTATGTGTATTATCATCACAGTCCTCTACAAATGGGTGTCATTATTAATTCTTACATGAAAGTTCCTTTTCAGAAATTTAGTATATGATATGAATCTTGGTGCAGTGGGGAACTTGAAGTTAGGGCCAGATGAAATGAATAGTAGGTATCTGGATCTGACTTTAAGAGTTCCCTAGTTTCTCATTAAAGTCTTTTGTCTCTGATTTCCAGGCAGAGCTAGGTTTTCTGCTGGCTCTGATGCTTTCAAAAATTATTCTTTTTCATTTTTGAAGTACCTAAATGTATCCAAAGGCTATACACAGAGTAAAGCAAAGACAGTCTGAGCCCACAAGCTTACAATGTAAAAGACACAACACAAAAACAAAAAAGGGGGAAGGAAGGGAAGAGAAAAATGAGGAAACTCAGGGACCAGTTCTTAAAGTTAGTTTTTATAACCATCAGTTTCATTGGAAACAATTCAGGGGAGGAACATGGCAAATGACAGCTGGTCTCTTAGCTGAACTGATAGCCCTCTTTCTGTGCTGCAGTCAGGTGCCAAAAATTGTTAGGTTCCCTTGCCCTCCAGGTTGATGCCGGTTTAAAACCAGGTTCATTTCGTTTGCGGGATGTATAAGCTTTTGCTGGATTATTTCCAGGTTACTTAACTGATAGAGACCATTTCTATGGCCTTGCGCTTTTCTTGATTTCAAGTCATGATTTGTTCAGCACTGAAAATGTTTTGGAGTCAGTTCTTAATGCCTGGGACATCAGTGTATGTATGCATTCTGGTAGTACATCACCACATAATGCTCTCCATGGAAGAAGAATGCACTCTTTGCAAAAATTAATGAAATAAATCTATGGCAGACACTCATTTTTAAGAGAGTCAGATCTTCTGAGCATCCTCAGAGCAGGACTGTTCTGTTACTTTTGTCTGCTCCATCCATTTCAGAACGTGCTTTTCCTTTCTTTTTGTGCTCAGAGCAGCTGATTCCTACCTTAATTTTCCTAAACTGTCATCGGTTTTGAAAAATTTAAATTGATGCTTGCAGCGCTGATATCAATTTGTATGTATAAAATACTTTATATAGTAAAGAGATTATTATTTTTTGCCAAATAGCAGGAGGGATGCATAAAGAGCAGAGTCAGAGATATAGAGGTACTTTGTAAGTCTAATGTCTGTTTTATCCATGTGTAATGAGATGTGCTGGGGTATTTTTTCTTTTTTGAAAAGCTATTTCTGCTTTCCACATGATAGCTGCAACACTATCAGGGTTTTTCAGTGTGAATACAAAAATATGTAAAACTCAGTATTATACAAGCGGCCTGCCCCATTTTTCTGATTTGAACACTGGCCAATATCTTGGGCTGTGGAAGAAAACACGTCATATTATTCTGACTTGCATAATTCATGCAGCCGATTATTGCTTTCCAAGATGCCGTTTGGTCATTACATGACTAGATATCATTCTGGTAGTTTATCTCCCCCCCCCCCAAATCTCTCATTAAAAACATATGTTTATGCATCATTTTTTCTGTCTGAGAAGACCAAGTATAATAAAACTTAGAAATGAATATGATAGTTAGATGACACACCTTCCGCATGACCTTGAAGTGTGCTTTGTCCTCTTATCTAGTGCATCTCGGCCACAGCTATTGACAGTATCTTGGATTAAATGCATTTTTTTCCCTCTGTGAAGAGGTTTGTTCATGTTTGTTGATCTGTTTGGCATATTTTGGAGCTGTTTATTCTGCAAACACTTCTTTGCAGCACATCAGTGTAACGCAGTGTGAAGAAATCCTGTTTATTTGAATTAAGTTGTAATGGGTATTGTGTAATGTGTTCTGACATTTGTATCGTACTGTGCATTGTAATGTATTCGATGTAGGAAGTTTTCTGTCTGGTCTGGTGAAAACTAGTTTTAACTGTTGCATGGGGCCTTAACTGACAGCCAAGAGAGAATCCTTAGTATTCGGGAGGGAGGGAGAGAGAGTATGCATATTTTGTTTGTTGGGTGCAAGCTTGGAATTTTCAGTTAGACAGTAGGATTGGATGGAGCTGGACTTGAGTGGCCAGAATAAATGTGTGCAATATTGTTAGTTAATTGAAAATTGGAGGGGGCTGGAGACTTAGAGTTAAGGGTGGTCAGTGACAGCAGAGGAAGGGGGTCAGGGGAGGACAGAATGCCTTGTTGTCTGATAACTTGTTGTGGGTAGCTGAATCACTTGGCTTAGGCTGAGGAGGAAAAGGGAGAACCTGAACGTTGGTCTCTGGTGACTGGCAGGAGAGGGCAGATTTCCAGGGCAATGCAGCAAAAGAAATCTCTTCAATAGGTCAGTAAAGGGTTGGATGAAGAGGCTTCCAACAGAGTCCTCCATTATAGTTAATTGGGGTGGAGAGAATACAAAAGCAATTCGGCTAAAGGGCTTTAATCATAAACTCTAGAGTTGGAAGGGACCATGAGGGTCATCTAGTCCAACCCCCTGCAATGCAAGAATCTCTTTTGCCCAATGTGGGGCTTGAACCCACAACCCTGAGATTAAGAGTCTCTTACTCTACTGACTGAGCTATCCAATTAACTGTTCCTTTAAAGCTGTCTTAGCTGGATGTAAGCTATTGGTATTTAAAGTGACAGTAAGAAGTTTAAAAAGTATAAGCTAAAGATAAAGTGCTATTTTTGAAGTAACCAGAAAAACTTTTGCACTTAATAATTGTATAATAAATTAATATAATTATCTCTATTAATTATCTGTATCTGACTGGCTTTGTACCATGCCAGTACCCCAGATTTATGGAATATTGGTTAGCTAAGGGTTTTATGGAAATAAGTGAGACTGAATGGTGGCAGGGCATAGGTTTAGAATTTGCCATTGACATGGGATTTGGGTTTTGTCATTTTTGAGTATGTAAGAAAATGCCCCCTTCCCTCAACAGAAAGCTTCCTTTTTTGCACAGTATACACAGGACTTTTGGGTTGCTATGTGAAAGAGCTGAAGCTTAGATAGGTTTTTGCTCAAGGATGGGCTTCTGATTGTATTTTAACTCAGTGACTCTGTTGGAATAGATATGAAGAACAAAACTAGTTTGCATTTTAAAATGTAATGTCTTCCTCTACAACACTGGTAATATAAAATTTCTGTTCAATGTTATTTACACTCTAGGAATAATTTCACTGCACTTTTGTACTCTTGCAGATTTCTGATCCAGTGACCTGTGATGAAATGTTTGAGAGTTTAGCCAAAATCCATACCAATTACTATAAAAACAAGGTAAGTCCTATCACTGTGGCCAGGTACCCAGTGTTAGAATCTGACAGCTGCCTCTGGGATGTGTTTTGTAATCCTGATACTAAGATTTATCTATACTAAGATTTATCTGATTTATCTTTAGCAGGGGAAGCAAACATGGCACCTTATAGATGCTGTTTGACTCCAGCTCCCATCAGCCCTAGCCAGCATGTCCAATAAAATCATAGAATTGTAAAGTTGGAAGGAACCACAAGGGTCATCTAGTCCAACCCCCTGATAATTATCCCATTATCAGGGTTAATGGGAGTTGAAGTCCAATAACATCCAGAGGGCACCGTATTATCTACCACAGTGTCTTTGCTTTTTCTTGAGCAAGCCAGTTCACCTTTTACTGTGTAAATTGGAGTGGCAAACCTGTGGCTCTCCCAGTGTTAAGACTACAGTTGCCCCAAACCGTCACTACTGGCTATGCTTGATGGGAGGTGTAGTCATGCATTTGGAGGACCACGTTAGCCATCCCTGCTATTTCAGAAATGCATGCATATATATATATATATATATATATATATATATATATATGAAACAACAGTGAGCATGTTCGTGCTATAGCATTTAGCAAATTTACTTCAGCATACAATTTTGATGCCAAATGAGAAGAAAGATTAAGAGAACATTGTTCTCAGGGGAAGCAGGAGGCTGCTATATTTATATATATATTTTCTGTTTGTTTGCATAGTATCCACGTTTGAAAGATACAAGCTTTACTGGGGTGACAGTTGAAGAATGCAAGCTAGTCCTTGCAACAGGTATTTGAGCAAACTATGCTTTATCCATTTACTGTTCTGTATCTGGTTGGCTAAAACGATTCAGCTGCCCTTTACATCCCCCCTGCTTTGCACACAGGAGTTTCCTCCCTCCCTCCTTCCCATAAATAGCCTTCCCATGAGCAAAACATTATGCAAAAGCTGTTTGTAATGCACCAATTGTATTCAGTCTTTAATGTTAGTGCTAAGACTAACACGTTACTTGAGGAATGTGGCACACTATGATAAATGGATTTTGTGTCCCAAAAAGTTGAGCTTAGTCTAGGAAATAGATGCAAGTGGGACCTGCAATTTCTCGCTCCCTAACAGCTGTTCAAGGTGCCAGCCATTCCTTCTCTTGCAAGCTGCATGGGCTGCCAAGGAGGGATGCTGCCTCTTGGTTTTTTTACATTAATAATTTGTACTGTTGAATACTTCAGGGTCCACCTGACCATGCTAATACTGCTCTCTTGTTTCTCATCAGCCCTATTTTGCCTCCAATCCTTTCAGTACAGAATTGGGGTTTTCAGCGTTTAATTGCCCTGCATTTGAGACACACAAGTCTGAAGAAGGGAGTGTTTGTTTCCAGAGCTAATGAGCCTCAAATTAAGACTCCCGGTCACTCCCACAATAGACATCAGTAATCAACTGATTTTGTTGCCTTCCATTCTTCCTGCATTTGTGGTTTCTGCTTGGGAACAAGAAATACGATAAAGAACAGTCTAAATTAACCTGTGTAGAAGCTGCTTTCTCTGCTTGGTTTCAGTTTTTACACTTCAAGAGTTTTCTATTATACTATGATTTATCTAAGCTAACTGTATCAAGACAAACAGCCTTTATAGAAACAGTAAATTTAAACATTCCTGAAGTGTCCTGAAGCTAAATAGCAGTCTTATGTTCTGGCTGCAGTGCATAGAAAATGCTAGTCTTTGCTGGCTCCACATGTACTGTTCTGACTAAGGAGAGCAGGTCTGCCCCGGGCAGCGAAACATAAACTTATTGAGATGGAAATGAATGGTTGTTTCACACCTTATGCTTTTTAGAGTGTACTTTAAATGGAATGGTTGGACATGATTAATGTGAGTGTTCAGGCATGTGAACTGCACAGGCACATGCACCAGGGAACTAGGACTGGCTGTGGTTTTCTGTCACATGTATACATGATGGCAAACATGCATATATCACCATGTTACTGTTTAAGCAGCCTCTTAAAGAAAATTGTTTTTATAATGAAAACCCTATTATTATTGTCTTTTCTGACTTCCTCTTAATGCAGCTAGCTTGAAGCAGATGGAAGAAGCAAAGAAAGGAAAATGGACAAAGTTACGTGAGAAATTTTCTGCCAAGAATCCTGAAGAAGATTCCAAATGATAACTTTGTGACACTAGCCAATTTTCCTAAAGCTCTATATTTTGCCTCCTTGAAACAGAGGTTTGTTTGTTTCATTTGCTTACCTAGGATGATGTCAGACTTTTTAAAGCAAAGAGATCTGGTTTTGACATCTCATCTCAGAACCATTTCTATCTCAGGGAACAATGCTTCAGTATTGGTGAAGCTATTCTGGAATGGGACAAGCAAGCCCTTCTTGATCACATTGGTTTATAGGAAGATGTTAGAAATGCCTTTAAATATATTGATGTGGTTGCTGCTCTTCGGCATGTCTAGGTGTCTGCATGTTCTTTAGGGAAAGGCTATATGCTGTTGGAACACAGCTGGTATGCAGTTGATATGCTGGGACATCACTGAATTGTATTTCATGGCTTTTTAGAATTCAAAATATTCCCAAACAAATACAGACACTATAGCATATAGATGTGTGGTCTTGTGTGTTTTACTGGAATGCCACCACTTATTCATGGAAGGCACAACTGCCATATGTTGGTACAAAATTGTTGCAGGAGAGCACTCATTTTCAAGCTATTTGTTCTGTAGATTACCAGTTTTTGCTGGGGGGGAGAATGGGCAACAGTAGACAAGTTTCTAAAAACAAACAGTTCACCATAATCTGCCCCTGCAATACAAGCGGCATCTGTTTTCATCTAGCATGAGAAAACAGGGGCAGTAGGTCTTCCAGCATTCTGTGCAAACATGGAATTCACCCTAGAATGAGCCTAGGAACACCCTGGAATCTTGTGGCAAGATTAGTCGGGCTAGTCAGAGCATTTCATGAAAACCTACCGAAAATGATATGTCTGAAATACTTGCTTAAATAGCTTCAGTATCAAGCAGAATCCAACAGATCTTGAAAAAATCTGCTCAGTCATATTAATGTCCGACAAGTTTGTAGCTTTTACCAACAAGCATATCAAGAAGTGATTCCTTCTCCCTTCCATTTTATTGTATTTGGTTCTGTTTGTGTTAACTTAAGGAAGTTACCACATTAAAACTTAAAACAATATTTGTAAAATATTCCAGAGCAAGACAAATTGCAAAGCTGCACTCTTGATTAATGAAATCTTTTCCCCGCCCCCTTCAACCTGCACTGTAATATGTACCTTCGAGGAACACCCTGCTTGGGTCAGAAAGGAATAGAAAAGCATATGGAGGCTGGAACAAGGAACTGTCATCATCTCTCCCTAATCATCTCCCTCTAGCGGCCACTCTCATAGTTAGACAAACCTGTACCTAATGTACTTTGTTTTATTTACAGTTGAGTTGTAGCCTGGCTGTTGAAGTTGAACATGCAATGCTTCTAAATGGTTGGGGAAATACTCTGGGGCAGTGTATGTTGATTAGGGAAATTCTAAAACAGTCTTTCGCAGTGTGGTGCCCTCCAGTTCACACCAGCCCCAGCCAGCATAGCAGGGCTGATAGAGGTGTAGTTAATTTACATCTCAGGACTTTTATAATGTACTCTTTTTTTTCTCTCCATCCTTCTCCCCAAATTTGTTTTCTTACACTAACTAATGACCCTTCAATGTCCATTCTGATGATAGTTGAAATATTACTGCTACCTTGCATTAGCCAACTGAAATAATCCAGTTCTACCACCTTTTAACCTTCCCAGAAGCAGGCTAACGCCCAAGTATGCACTGTCTTCTAACCTATTGTGTGAACGAGAGGGGGAAGAGATTGCTCTTTCACAGTGCAGCACAAACATGCAATCTTCCACTAACGCTGATAAAAGTCTCTCCATGGAACAAAATGCCATTGCATTTCTCAACAATGCAATCTGCCGCTCATCTTCAGTCGAAGTGTTAAGCTAATAGTAGATTTTCTTAGTTTCTTCTTGGGTTAGATAGGATTCTAGAGATGAAGAAAAATGCCAGTGACTCCAGGAAAACTGAGATGACAAGCTTGTAAAGAGAGATCCATGTATGTTGAATTTCATGGACTCTGTTAAAATAAGTTAAAATATAGCAACTACTACTTGCTAGTAACAGTGTCAATCCTATTTGCACCTGGCTGTGAAGCCATCAAAATGTAGTGCATGGAGACAGATAACCCATGTTATAGCAACAGAGCTATCATAAGGAGCAGCAAAGCTCCCAAATGTATGGTAAACTATGAATCCGCACAAAGCGACAAATCATACTAGTTGTCAGCTTCAGGTCTCTCTCTTGAATAAAATGCAGTCAGCCCTACTGGAGATGAACAGAAGGTGGTGCCAGAATGCCAAAATATGAATCATTATGACATGAATCGGCTTTCTTTGATGGATGAGATCTGTGCTGGCAACCTAGTACCAAATATCCTCCTCAGGAAGTGCATATGTAAAGTAGAGTTTTAGCTTGGTGAAGTAGATTCTGCTGTCTCAGTGGTTCAGACTGTTCTGGACATCCACAAAGCCCATCCGCTGTCTTCGCTTCCTTTGCTCTGTCATCTGGAATATAAAAACGGGATTTAAAAGATGGTTTTCATTTCTTCAGTTGAATTCACAACACCATTCTTTTATCAAATTTACAAGTGTTCTCTGCCACAAACCCCTGCATGTTGAAGCTTGTGAGGTCTTTCATTAGTTGTACTCAGCTAACTGGCATTACTCGTGTAGAAATGTACCCACACTTCCCTGACCTACATGTTGTAGAACGGGGGGGGGGGGGACCTTCAGCCACAGGCCAGGGTTGCCAACTTGAATAAAATATGGGGGAGGGGCAAGTAAGCATCACTCTGATTAATTACAAGACGCTGCACTGCAGGCACACACTATTTGAATGCCAATGCCTATGCTTAAAAATTTCAGGGGGGATTAAGCTGCCCATTCATCAGCTGATGCATAGAGAATTCAATCCATAGTTGCTCTCCCCCCCCCCATTGCCTGTGAGCCAACTATGACAGGTGGGTGGTCCTGTTGGGTGGGGGAGATGAAGATGTGGCCCATAAAGGTTCTCCACCCCCATTGTAGAAAGAGATCAGTTAAGGCAGGTGTTATCTTTGGGACAGTGCATCCTCTGTGCTTCATCTAAAAGCAGTTGCATTCAGACAACAGGATTTCCCCCCCAGAGAGCATTATTTAGTTGAAGGGTTAGCAAATGTGGTCTAATTTTATGACATCCCAAAGTTCCGAAAAGGCGCTGCTTCTCTTAGTTCATTCCCTTAGTCCCTCCCCAAAGCACCTCGTTCCTAAAGTTTCTCATACCTGCTCCTTCAGCTCATTCAGCTGTGATGTGAGATGGGATACCAATTTCATGGTGGAATTCAGTTTATCCTGTAGACACCGGATCTCGTTCTGCTCCCCTTCACCTTCGTTGCTGACCAGTGACATGGCTCGCATCCGAGGGAACCAGTCCAGGTTCTTGTTCTGGAACAGTCATTGCAGGAAACAAGTGTTTTAAAGGAAGGAATAACCAATCAGAACAAAAGTAGCCTGGCACCGCAAAACAGGTAGGGCAGAACCTAAGAGGGCAGTTAACTGAACTGTCAAGAACAAAGACTCTGGTGCTAAGTGCTGCCTGTTGGAGCAAAAGAGAGGAGTTATCCATCCACTGATGGAGGAGCGATTCTGCAATAAAGTTAGAGCACCCAGTGTATTAATAGCACCCCTTCAAAAGCACTATACAGAAATTAAAAACCAAGACAAGCCAGTACAGGTACCAATTCTTGAAGTTACATCCTCTCATACATCTGGCCACTGGCAGAGGCCAGATTGCAAAACTGAAGGGAAGCAGACCCAGGGCAACTGATTTTATTTGAGATTATATACATCACACACAGGCTGCCCACTAAAACTGCCTTTTTCCAAAGTGAAACTCTTCCCATCATGCAAGAGTATTGATCGCCTTTACCTTTATCATTTGTGCTACGTAGCTCTCAGGCCCTGTGTAGTCAGTCTTGTTTTTGACTCGCACCAGCACTATGAAGTACAGGTAATTCCACATGTTGTGTTCAAATTTAATGTGCTCCTCAAAAGATACAGTCTTGTTGTCAAACTTGTCCCTTTCGAGTCCTAAGCAAGTAATGAAGAAAAGGATAATGCTATGTTATCTAGCAACTGCTGCACCCATCCCTAAGTCCCATTAAAGAGACTGATTTTGCACGCATTTTTCTCTACTTGACCTCCACTTGTAGCATACAGAAATATGAACAGCATAAGTTGGTCACTGGGGTGCTAATGGATGGGTGGTCATGTTCACAGCAGGGAACTGGAAGAGAAAGCCTTTGGGGTTCTTCCAATCTAATTTTAGCAGGTCTTGAGCAGAAAATGGCTAGTGCCTAATGTTCACGGCTGAGCAGTTAAATTTCAAATTACAGTACCTGTTTTGGACACTTAAAGAATCTCTGTAAAATTGAAAACATGCCTTAAAAGAAAAGATGGATGGAGTAGTTTATAACCACTTCAAGAGACGTCTTGAAATCTAAACACTAACGTTAATTGTGTAAAATAGGAAAGCTGAGATATTATGCATATTATCTCAAGTGATATTGCACTTCTGCCATTTTGCACCCACTGACAGACCATCAGAAACCAATAAAAATTTGCTTTGAAAGTGAAATTGTGAAAACTTAAATTTGAATGCACTAAGATGGGATTCATTTCTGCTGTGTTTTGGATCCTGTATGCAGGCCAATGAATATCTGAAATACAACATATGTTTGTATTGTGGGCAGTTTCAGCTGCTGCAGTCAAATGAACACCCAAATCCTAATTCTCCTTTCTGTAGGGGCCTTAAGAACACCCCCTGAATACTTAGTTTACTTTTGGAGAAGGGGATAGTTCCTCCACCAGATAGGCAATGATCTTGTTGGATGTTTGCTGAATATATGGGGGTATTTCCCAGATAAATAGTTTCCCTGGGCAATTACCACATATAAAACACGTTGTCTTCAGGATTTCTTCTTTTTTCTGCTTCTCGCTCCTCAGATCTGCAAAGGTGTCGATGATTACACCAAATATGAGGTTGAGGACTATGATTATGACAATGAAGAAGAAC